GCCATTTGATAGATTAAAACTTTGGCTTTCTAGTGGCTTTAAATAATATAGTATTAAACATCAGAAAGAACTATTGGAAATGTGTGAAAGAGAGAATGTGACAGGTGGGTGTAACAAGTGGGTCTGATTTTATAGTATATGCTTCCTTAAACAAAGAAGATTGAAAGCTATAAAAATTAAGCTTTGCCCGAATAATAACTAAGTTACGTTAAATTTCTTCTTCTTGGAGGGAGTGGTAAATAAATTACAGAATAAGGAAGACCTAGGGAACAAATGTCACAATTCTCACACTATGAGAGATAGAGGGCATTTTTAACATTTCCTTGCAAAATTAAAAACTTATATAATATTAATATTTGATTTATTATATACATTTTGATGCCAAGCTGATTAGTATATATTGACAATAAAGCAGTTTAACAAAATTTTGAATGTAACTCTGTAAAAAAGGTTGCAATTTGCACACAAAAGGGAACCCATATGGAAAGGGTTAAGCCTCATTTGAAATACTGTGGACAATTTTAGTCACATTATCTAAGAAAGAATATTGACTTATTGACCAGGGTTCATGGGAGGGGTGCTAAGATGATTCTAGGGATGAAAAGGTTGTTTTTACATTTATAGGTTAGGATCTCAACCTGTTTTATCTTTCAAAAAGAGGATAAATAAGAAAAGATCTTATTTAAGTTTGCAAGATTATATGGCAATCTGTAGGATAAATGCCTCTGATTTTTTGTGATATATTTTGAAAATAATATGATGACAGGACACAAGTTTAATAGAACAGGTTCTAGTTATTGACCTATGGAATGAGTTGCTTTTGGCATTATTGAGGGTCATCAAAAGTTGAACACACACTCACTGCCACTGGATACACATGCGCATCCCAGGGTATGTTAGCCAGTGCTGCCAACACACGTGTCAACTAAAACATTGAGGCATATGTATTTTATTGGAGTTGGTGTGCGTTAGAAGTCACTTCTGCTGTGACGGTACTCATGTAAAAGTCTCCTCTCATAGAAATTTCACTTGATTGTAATTTTGTTTTATGTATGAATATTTTCTGGTTGGCTTTTATAAAATGGATAAAAATAGTTCTCCTTCAAAGCTTTTTCTAAGAAGGAAGAATTTAAAGCTCTATATAAACTTTTATGGTGAAGAATTATTGGATTTATTAGTCAATTTGGAGAATTTGTCTTCCTCGGAAAGTTAGAACAAGTATTTTCCAACTGAAGAAAGTGACATTGATAATGAGGAATCAAATTCTTTCAATGTCTGGAATGAATCATTAGTTAAAACTGAAAACATCAAGCTTTATATTATTGCTAGGCCTAGTGACAATAGCAGGCCTACTGATGTTGGTATGGCTATGTGAAGTGATGATTCATCAACAATGAAAAAAATTACAATTTACTAGAATTCCAGGGTTAAAAGTTGACATTCCATTTTTTCTCTTTGTTTGTTCAAGAGGAGTTATTCAACCTTTTAGTTATTGAAACAAATGCATATGCTGAGGAATTATTTCCTTATGGAGCCTATGAAAATTCATGCATTATACAATGAAAGGATATTACTGCTGATGAGCTAACAGTTTATTTGGGGGTGGGTTGTTGCTGAACATGGGACATTCAAATACAATATTCCCATGACTCTAATTTACTTTTCTTGTATATTCCAAACATACCCCAAAACAATGAAAAGATATAAAGAAAAATAGATGATGCACATGTGCATCATGCAGCACTCATTAAATTTTTTATCTATAGTGCCATGATTCTCATGTGCATCATGGTACAGATTTTTGTTGAATAAGCAGATATATGGCACTGAGTTGATAAAAAATAGATAATTTATGAACTAACATTCATCACTTATGTAACCGCTCTCTAGAAAAATCTATGCTCAACATTACAGCATAGTAAATTTGTTTTAAGCTATTAGCAACTTTATTTGCAATAAGTATGGGAAATTCATAATGTAAATAAAAGATACATGCATATTAAATTTCAAAATTTAAGTAAAAATATTAATTTTAACTCTGTTTCAACAATTTTTTATTCAAACATGTTTTAGAATTGATATTTTTCATTTTGTAAGATTTATTTAGTATAATATTCTCAGAGAAAGATATATATAAAAAATGTTGAATTTCATTTCTGTGTAGCTCCAAGGAGTCTTGCTTATAAACATTGCACTTAGATTTTTATTTAAAAATTTTCTAACCATCCCAAAGCATAGAATTACATCTGACACAAAACTGTCATCCTTTGAAAACATGTCTTGTTTCTTATGTAATTTTCCTATTTTGTTCACTACATTTATTATTATAGCCCTTTGTTCTCAGCCTTTTATGATGTCACAACATGCTACCTAAACAACTACTAATGAAACTCAGCAATGAAAATAGCTAGACAAATTTTAAATACTAATGGATAGAGCAGACAAATTATTTATGTCAATCTATGATGAATAAAGTGATGTGAGCATTAATTTATTGTTTCATAGGGATGAGACTAAACAGACCATTTGCAACTGTGAGCAAAGAAATATAACAGGAGGTTTAGAAAACTTAGGAAGAAACAAGTTCTAAGAAGTTATATATATAAAAGCCAAATGTCTGTCATGCACTGTATCTTTTGAACAGTTAATGGCAGAAAAAAAGAATTTTATATCAATAGTACAATACATACATTACAGGAAAATTATAGATTTTTAGCAATTCCAGAAATTTTATATCAAAATCCACCAGTCTTTGTATCTGCTGAACAGTCAATCTTAGAAAACAAAACTTATTAAGAATGAAAATGTTTCTTTTTGTGAGGGAATTTAATGAAAAAAATTTGGGTTTCCTCCTTTGGCTGATAAAGAAAATATATTTCATCAAAGGTAGGCCCATAAATGGATAAAACACACAAAGAGAGGAACGTGTTTGAGTATTTTTTTTTTCAGTTTATATATATTTTTTTTTTCATGAGAATATTTTATACATGCATGATTTTATTGTACCACATCTAATTAATTAATTTGAATCTAATTGAATATTTCCCCTTTGTGGCTTTTTGTTGTGCTCAGTAAAATGACAAGGATAGTGGCATCCAGCAGAAAAATCTTCCATGGCTACTTAGCAAACCTTAGTTCTCTAGTGTGTTGAATACACCAATTACATCTAAAACAAAACATTTTTGCCAACAATGAATTGTGGTCAGTCTTCTTTAGTTAAAAACAAACACAATGCAATTTTCCTTATTAAAATGACATGGAATGACAAAAGATGGTTGTAAACAGCCCACTTAAAAAATTATATTGCATGTAAGTTCTGATCCAAGGGATTGGGTTAACTGTACATTTTATATTTATTCATCACTATTTTTAGGAAAATTACTATTGAATTGTTTCAACAGTTGTGTGCTATTTTTTTATAGTTTCTTTACAAGTTCTTCTTGTTCCTGAAAATGTTTTCTTGTCAACCTTTATATATCTGAAAGTTACAGAAATGTTCTTCTATGACAAGACATCAAGTAAGCTTAGTTAGGTTTAACAAATATGGTATGCACTGCAAAATATTATGATGACTTAAATGCTTATTTATTGAATATTATTGTTAACTCTATGTTACTGGTTGGGGTCAAAGTGTGCATGCTTGACCTCATACAGAGTAGAGTGCCTTTCAACATGATATTATGCATTTTATGTCAGAGTTATCAACATTTTATGTTACCCTACACTGCTGATTTTGCAACAGTTTGTGTTACAGAAAATACCAGATACAATATACAAGGATAGTAAAACAAAACTTTAGATATGCTTTAGGAGGTTGAAGAGATTATACAAGTGCAATTTGCAAACTGTGCAATGGACAAAAGTATCTTTATTCTTCACATAAACATCACCTTGCACTCTTGACTTGCCAGAGTCTGAATCAGACTGACTTTGTAATTTCACAGTCATATCTTTAGTACAAAATATTTAATTACATAGCTGATTTTTGGGGTACAACAGATTTGTACTGTTGACTAAAATTTTGTCACATTTCTTGAAGGTATGCTTCATAAATGTAGAATTATAATCAATATTACTTCTTCAGTATACTGTGTTGGTACAAGAGACCAACAACACGCTTCTTCAGTTAAGTTTATCCTATACAAATAATTCACAGTAAAATAACTTATCATCATTTATAGAAAAGGAACTATATTTATTAAATATAAACTTGTCTAAACCAAGAATAATTTTAGCCAAAATACTGTTACTTAGTCGAACCTGATGCCATTTTAAAAGATCAAGTTTTGTGGTCACTGATAAATCATTTTCTTTTACAATTTATATGCTAAAGTGATGACTACTGCAAATGACAAAAGAATGAATTAAAAAACACACTAATGAACATCAATCAAGATAAAACTGCCCGGATATATATAATGGAATTTTATGATCATCAATAACAAATTGTAATTCTAAAATAAAAAAGTATTTTCCACATTTTTTCAAAACTGTTTCAACAAAATTTTGAAAATTTCAAAAGATAATTGATAAAAGAGCTAGATCAAATTATATGAATTTTTTTCAAGTCAAAACTGGATTCTATTTAGTGAGATTTTCTAAGTTTCATGCACTTTGGTTAAGTACTTCCAAAGAAGGAGTAAATGAAAGGATATCAGTGACATCCCTCCAATTTGATAAACTTGATCTATCTAGGAGGTCATACAAATTTTATCCTGGTGTGACAAATATTTTATGATTTTTAATAAAAAATAATAAGTTTAACAATACATCGTTTTTGTACAAAAATGTTAATTGATTTATTTTAATGTTGTAGGTTTTGTACTCTAAGATTTAAACTAGTGTCAAGTGAGTTAAAGGAAAGGTGGTTGTGTTAGACCTGAATTAAAATATATTGGTAAAATGATGTTTATTAACATGGATATCAGATAATTCTTTAAAATAAATATATTATTATATTATATTATTATTTAGCAGTAAAACAAAGTGTTCAATCTTACTCTAGCTGATCGTCTTTTACTACCAACTTCATAACTTTCACAAGAAAGACGCTTCCGTTTGGCTCCACGACGAGAGCTAGTGGTGGTTACAGAGTAGAAGCAACTGGTATCTAGGTCCTGAACCTGTGATGTTTGTAGTAAGCTGTGATAGCCAACATCGGGCATGAGAAGATGTCCCGACTCTGTCAACATTGCAGGTGAGTCATATTCTTGAGGAATCTGTGGATCTGGAAAGGGGCATAAAAAGTATTATAACAATTACTGTACAGAGAGAGAGAAACACATCACAAAGTCAGGGTTAGTAATCAAACCAAAACAAAAATTAATATTGTAATGGTTTCCATTGTTGGGTGGGTTCTTTTGGGATTATTCTGTAAAAAAGAAGAACACAGTCCAATCTACTTAATAATAATGAAAACATTTGATTTATCCATTAACAAGTTCTACAAGAACAACTTTTAAAATTTTCATGTAACCTAAGGATAGGCCTCAGTTCATAAATAATGCTAACATTCATTTACTTGTTAACTTCTCTTGTACATATAGTACTTTTCATATCTCTATTACTTCACCATAAACAGAAATTCAAAATTTACAATGCTGAACTCACTAGTTGACTTATCTCTCTCAACATGAGCTTGGTTGATTTGACCAACCACATAACCTCATTGTACTAGTTTAAAGTCTTTACAGATTTGATAATACTAACTTTTATTATAGTATGTATATCTTCACAAAATGTGGCAGTCTTTAAGTAAATATTATAAGTCTTTCACATACAAAAAATCATATTTTTTAGTGAAGTATATTAAATAAGCTAAAAAAAAAGATTTGTCCTTGAATATATCGAGTATTTGTTTTGAATAGTCTGTGTGAAAGTGATTTCATGTTAAGATTAAAAATAATTTTCTTCATCTCAAAAATCTCAAATTTTATTTATGTAATCTCTAAAACCTCCTA